ACTTTTTAAACCTCCAGGGGAGCATCATTATGTGTAGTGTTTCTGAAACTTACTGGGCCAAGAAAGCTTTTTTTCCGAAAAGCAACTCAAGGGCACAGCACAGGGTTCTACAGAAAACTCTTGGGAATACCAGACTAGGCCATCTTGCCTCATGTGCCGTTTCATATTTTTCAGAAACTTGAGTTTAATTGCTGCCCAATAGTCCCTTCTATGGCTAAGCCAAATTTATGTTTCCCGTCTCCGATGGTTAGATATTGAGGTTGGTTCCAATTTTTCAGAATTACTGATCATTCTAGAATGAATTCTGGTTACTTTGTGATCATCTTTGATTATTCTTTTCAGAAGTGGAATTGGTGAATAAAAGCGTATGAATGTTTTCAAGACTCTCAAAATAACATAGTCCAGTTGCTTTCCAGAAAGCTTATGTCCACTTATCCTGCTACCAGTTGCTGGAAGTGGGGACAGTGTTATTAGCATCCATTTGTCAAAGCTGAGGAGTCTAAGAAGTTCAAATGACATTCCCTTTCCTCCTGTCCTGTGGACAGCCAGTAATGAAAAAACAAGCAGTTACACATACTAAGGACATAAACAGCCATTCTTTTGAAGGGACAAATTGACTTTTCACAATTCCCTGTGCTTCTAAAAAAATTAAGTGTTATCTGAGAGTTATCTGAATACTTTAATTTGGTATTACAAATTTTCTGTTGGATAGTTAGGGAAGAAAGAATTTTGAATTGGCATTTGTTGTGCTAATTTTCAAATAGCCTTTCAAGGTGAGATTTTAAAAATTGTATCACCCTCCCATGATTGTGAACTTTGCATCTAGAAGAATCTTTATGTGAGTGTTTATCAGTCTTCTGACCCCACGGAAATTGAATTATGTCATATTCAGTATTGATGCTTGTTGTGGTGCTTTTGTTTTATATTTGTATGGTGAAAATATACACATTGTAGGCTAGAAGTGATTTATCCTTTTGTCCTCCACAAGTATTACCTGTTGGTCAATGTATTATTGGGTTTTGGAACTGAGATGTGAACTTTTAACTCATTAAAACTCCCAAGTCCCTGGCAATAAAGTCATTTAAGTGGCTTCATCAACAGATTTATTTTTTAAATGATTCCATTTGGAGGAAGGAAAGAACAAATAATGCATTATGCACAAAGATCTATTCAATAATTCATGAGACCTGCACACCAGTGACCATTTTAGATTCAGCTCATGGTGTTATTGCTGAAAGTGAACATTGTCTTAGAAGATGTCCACAATTTGTTCCTCTTTGTGCTTGAGTCCACAAGTACCTTGATTTTTGAGATATAAATTTTGTACTGACTCTCCTAGTTGGTATGTTTAAATGGACCATTCTTATATGGAGGCTATTTTGAAAAAAATGGACATTTTATGTAATTGGGGCAAAAAGACACTTTATGTGCTTTTCCTACCCTTAGCAAAGCAGGAATGTTTAAAAAATGCATTGCTTTTTTCTCCATTTGGGCAGGGACTTTGATTTTGTTTTCCATATGTGGAGTGAATTGCCAAAGAATGGATTAAAATAGATTTATTGATACCTAAATTTTAGCAAACACAGTGTTGGGCAGTCAGTGAGTATGGAAAGGCATACATGATAAATAACTTGCCATTCTCCAATGAGTCCTGGCAAGTGGCCCAAGCCCTTTAGCTGCGAACTTTTGGGCTCATCCTGAGCTCCATCCAACCAGATCTTGTTTCTGAAAACCACAGAGGCAATGGGGCAATGTCTCTTCAAGGTGGAGACTTGCAGGAGGCCGTGGAGTTGGGAAAGAGTTGCCTGCTTCTTTCCACTCTGTGAGAGTTGCACTAATATTCTTCAATGCAATACTAGGGAAAGCTGGGGAACTGAGTGCTTCAGATTTCCAAATAGGATCATTTCAGTTTGGCAAGTACTTATTCCATGATAAGTATTGTGTGGGAAATTACAATGAATGAGTGATGATTTTATTTGCTGGAAAAGCTTCAGTCTCCATCCTTCCTCCCTCCCTCCTTTCCTTCCTTCCTTCCCTGTTCCCTCCCCTACTTTCCAGTAAAAATGAATGTTTTTTTAAAACTGAAAAACCATTTAATTTAAGAACTGTACTGGTATAGAATTAACCCCTGGTTGTTCACAGAAGATGAAAACATTCACAAGACTCAGAAAAGTAGGAAAGCAAAGAAAGTTTTATTGAAGGTTGGGCAGAGAGAGAATGCCCATGTAAGTGTCTAAGGAAGATGGCCGCCACGGGTAGTAAGGAGAGAAACACCAGTAGGGAGTGTTCCCAGGGGTAGAGTCTGAGAGTGGACAGCTGCACCTAGCTGCAGGTTAGCTTTTTCTTATATAGGAAAGGGGAGGTAAATTTTCTTACAGCAGAAGATGTGACATATAGACTGAGGTCTTTTGATTGACATATGTTGGTTATATAACTAGTTTCTTTCTGCACATGCTCTTACAGAAAAACCCAGAATGCGTACAGAAAAACCCATAGAATATGGAAGACTAAACCTTAATGTTCATTTTATTCTAGTTGTATCATAATGAATCTGGAGTTCACACTGGAAGCAGGCTTCAGCGACCTGCACAGATGTGAAAAACCTGATTTTTCTGTTTGGGTCTTATCTTCTTTTTCTAAGGATGTTCCAACAGGAAGATTTATCTCTAGGGACTGAGTTTGGGTGGTCCCTGGGAAGGGGGATGCAGGCCTGGGCAGTCCCCCTTTGAGCTCACTTTTATTAACTTTTTTGCCTCATCAAAAACCATTGTAAAAATTTATACTAGTCAGACTCTTATAAAGAAAATGTATAAAGCACTAGAAAGCCACCATTAACATTTTGAGAAACATTATGTTGTACCTACACACATGGACATACGCCCACACACATTTTACCCGAAATTATAAAATGGTACATATACTGCTTTGAGACAGTATGTCAAGGGTACCTTTTCCTATAAATAAAAACCCTCATCATCACTTTAATTGTTGCAGAGTATTCTGTTACATACATATACCATTAATGAATTCTCTATGATTACCCTTTAGATTAATTTTAAATATTTGCTCCCATGTACAACACAAGAATGAGTATCTTTGTGTGTGTGGTGATCACTCCAGTATATGTTCATATAAGTGGAATTGTTGGGTCAAACAGTATGCACATTTCAACTTTTTATGTGTATTACTGACAGCGTCTTTGAAAGAAGGCCTCTCTTTTAAAAAAAAATATATATTTAAGGTGTACAACATAATGATTGATGTACATATACATAGTGAAATGATTACTAAAGTCATATTATTAACATCTCCACATAATTACCTTTTTTAAAAAAATGATAAGCATACCTGAAATCTACTTTCTTGGCAAATTTCCAGGTTTAATTAATCATAGTCATCATGCTGTACATTAGATCTCTAGAATTTATTCATCTGATGTAACTGCAGTTTTGTCCCTTTTGACCAACATCTTCCATCTTCCCCAACCCCCCAAGGTCTTGGTAACCACCGTTGTACTCTCTGCATCTATGTATTTGACTTTTTTAGATTCCACGTATAAGTGAGATCATCCAGTTTTTTTTTTCTTTGTCTGGCTTATTTCACTTAGCATAATGTCCTTCAGGTTCTTCCATTGTTGTTGCAAATGGCAGGATCTCCTTCTTTTATAAGGTCAGATAATATTCCATTCTGTATGTATCTATCACATTTTCCTTATCCATTCATTTGTTGATGAATGCTTAGGTTGTTTCCATGTCTTGTCCATTGTGAATAATACTACAGTGAGCATGGGAGTGCATATATCTCTTTGAGATACTCATTTAATTTCTCTTGGGTATATACCCTGAAGGTGAATTGCTGGATCATATGATAGTTCTATTTTTAGGTTTTTGAGTGATCACCATACTATTTTCCATAGTGGTTATGCCAATTTCAATTCTCACCAACAGTGTACAGGGGTTCCCTTTTTTCCACATCCTCACCAACACTTGTTACTTTTTTTTTTTTTTTATAATATCCATCCTAACAGGTGTGAGGTGATATCTTATCGTGGTTTTAATTTAATTTGCATTTTTCTGATGATTAGTGATGTTGAGCATCTTTTTATAAGATGGTCTTAAAATACATTTCTGTGTAGCTTATGAGAGTGCCTCCCATCTTTCTAGTTTTTAATAAATTAATAAAGGCTTCATCATTGCTTTTATTTTCATTTTTTATTATAATTAAAGATGTTTTAAAATACTCATTGGCAGTTTATATCTCTTTGTTATATCTGTCTAATCCATCTGTCCATCTATCTATTTTTTATCCATTTTTATTTTAAGCTGAGTTATCTTTTTCTTATTGACTTTCAAAACCCATTTACAATATATTCTTCAAATATATTCAAAGATATATTCTTCAAAATCTGTATAAAATCTGTATGTGTCCTCAGAATAATTATTCTGCTTGGGGATAAATGATTCTAGTGACCAAGGAGACTAGTTTTGTTCACATTTTGGAACGAAGCTCATCTCTGTCACCATTTGTCATGCACTCGAAGGTTGCAGCCATCTAGACCTGAGGGCAGTTGCCGAGGTGCCCTGGCTGCAGTGTTCCTCATTAATGGCTCAGCAAGGGTCTTGTGATCTGTGCCAGTCTCCTCTTTTCCTCCCCTTGGCAAACATCTTTTTCTTACTGCTGTGTAATTCTAATGAGATTGCTCTAGGAGGTTAACCCTATTAAATAAGTGATGAGCAGTAAAGAAAAGAAATTTCATAGGATATTAGCACTTAAAATAAAATTTATTTTTGGCCTTTGTCCAAGAGTGAATTTCATGTTCTATAAACCACAAGCGTATGTGCAGTGAAGGAGGAAAATTTATAATCTAATATGGATCCTGGGAATATTCTAGGGGGAATTCAGGGATCTTATAAGGATGATGTAGGATAAAGTTTTATATTTAATTTGGGATTGCATAAAACGTACACTTTGGCCTAAAACCATTCATTGTTCCTAAACAGTTTCATTCACTGGCTCCCATGTACTATCGTGGATCCGCTGCAGCTGTCATAGTGTACGATATTACCAAACAGGTAAGAATGACCCTGTTAGAATTTAGATGACTTATGGTGATTCTCTGTCTTATAAAGACCAAAGCAGAGACTTCACTGCTTGAGTCTTGACAGTAGCCTGGAATGAGATTTCATAATGTGGTGGTTGGGGATAATGAACACTATATATTGATTTTATTTCACCTATGTGTAATGAAGCATTTCAGGCTTATCTGCTAAGTTAAATAAACAACAATGAACATTCACTTTTAAAATTGACTGTCTAGTTGAAGAGGTAAGGTCATGCCTGCTACTACTATTCACCAGAATGTCAGTTTTTTAGGAAAAGGAAAATTATTTTTAAGTTTTGAATGTTTTATAATTATAGAATATTTTCTATTAGTGTTCCAATCACACTACTTAAAATGCCAAGGAAAATGTTCGTGTATGTATAGTGTATCTGTGTATATATAATATAAATATATTTTTAGTGATCATGTCTAGGATATCCATCAACAAATGACTGCAGTGGTTTGCTGACATTTTTTCCTACTCCTGGAGTGCTGACTCAGTGCATAGGACCACTAGTTTAATGATTCATCACTTACATCCTTGAGTTCCTGACCACTTTTACCTAAATGTGGTGTCTGTCTTGGCTTGTTTCTTGGAGGACAGTTGTAAGTGAGCGTGTGCGTGTATTTTATTTTCCTTTTTCTTTCCTGAAGTAAACATGAACATTGTCTAGTCCTATGACTAGGTTCCTTTTCATGTTAAGTCCTGGCTCTACTTTTAAATTAATGTTATTTATAGGAGAAAATTATAAAAAGGATTTTCTTCATTTCATCAAGTTTCAGTTTTAGAAAAGGGAATCTTTTACAGGCTATTTAAGTATAATTTAGCTAATATTAAAATTTATGCCAACATAGGTGTAGTATGTTGATCTATGTGAGTCTCCTGAAAATACTTTTCTCCATTAAATTGTGCTAAGTTTGTTTTCTACTTGGGTGAACTATATAGAGTTTTGTATGAAATACATAGGGTTTATGTGCATAGGGCCATGTTATAAAACACATAACTGTTATGTTGATGGGTCTTTTCAATGATGGATTTACACTTTGGGTTTAGGACTCATTCCATACCTTGAAGAAATGGGTGAAAGAGCTGAAAGAACATGGTCCAGAAAACATTGTAATGGCTATTGCTGGGAACAAATGTGATCTCTCAGATATTAGGTAAGATGTATTTAAAAACTTTTTTTTGTGTTAATATCCTCCATACCTGAATGTCTACATGCAAAAAGCTGTCATGTCTGTGTTGTTCTCAGTGTAATAATTTAATAATGTGTCATTCACTTGTGGTGGTCAAAGTGGTGTATTTATTCAACTAGAATAGAATTAAGGGAAAATAGTACAGAAATACAAATTTGATGGACCACACAGTAAAGAATATTAAAATCAAATCTCCTATATGTAACACAGTTACATCCTTGACTCTAGATATCTTTGGGCTACATGATTTTATTATTTTTGTTACCTTTTCTGTGATTAGTGCCATTATTATTTCTGTGATTATCACCATTATAGTAACACTTTAATATGGTAAGGAGAGTTAGATTCTTAACATTTTCCATAGCATCCCTGTTTGTTTTAGTTTTAGACTTGGACTTAAGGATGTAGTCAAGTCTATATAATCTCACTATTTTGTTCTAAGATCTGAATATGATGCATCAGATAGGAACACTTTGGCTTGTTCCAGAGACACTGGATTCTTGAATTATACCTGGAGAGATTGTTTTTAGGGACACAGTCCACATGGACTGGAGATGTGATGATAGCTCAATCTAGTCTGATAAACTAGCTATTTTTACCAAATAAAAATGTTGTAAAAAAGGACATAGTGAATTTGTGTTGTCCCCATCCCCCTGGTTAATTTAATTCTCAGCAATTCTAGTAGTTGATTTTCATAAAGACAGCGACATCAAGCTTCAGGTTTTGCTAATCCAAATATGATTAAACCAAAGTTAAATAACAATGAAAACAGATCTTTATAAAGCTCTTACCTCTTAACATGGCCTTTGACAAATTACTCTGTTTCTTTGGGATTTCAAAAGCTTTATATCACATTGCATTAGGTTGGTTTATAATAACAGGCATCAACACCACTTAATAATTTGTTCTTCTGGGAGCTGAACAAATCTGTAAACTCCCCAGACTTAGTTCAGATCCCTACCTTCTTTACTGTAATCCTAAAACAGCTTGCTTAGCTAGTATTCCCAGCAGAGTTGCTTTAACTTTTGTCACTGGAAGGGGTGGAGGTGGGCAGAGAGGGCCTTTGCTGAGAGAAGGCTCTATCATCTGATACCACTGAACTGCAGTAAAAGGCATGACTTAAGTGAACTAAGCCTTGTGTATTGTGGGAGTACCGATGGACTAGAATTTAAGCAGAGAACAATTTAAACTTGAATGGAATTATTAGGACTCTTGGTTACATGGAACTGAAAACCAATTGAAATTAATTTCAGAAAAAAGAGGAATTTATTGGAAGGTACTGGTATCCACAGGGTAAAAAACCCAGCTGCCTTTAGCCCTAGTATGTGATATGTTCCATCTTTTGTCCCTGGAAAAATATTGGATTGGCATTCTCTGTTTCTAGTCTAAATTGCCATGGAAGGGTTTCCTACATCATGACAAGGCGTTTGTGGCTCAGGTAGGGGACTTGGGCAGTACAAGATGATTTTTCTCACCATAACCATGAGAATGGGAGAGTGGCTGGTTTGGAAGAGGGGCAGTTCCTAGAAAAGTGCAGTCTGGACAGACAAAACATGTCTGTGACATGCTGGCTTGGCTACTGGTTCCTAAAGACACACCATTTCTCAGGGTGGAATTCTCCTTTTATGCACTGGTATAGCATTCTCCGCAGCAAGCATTCTCCTTTTTGCCACCCAATTCCTATTTTACAATTTGCAAAATGCCCAGCTAGCAGTATCCATCCATCTCACTTCCAACCATAAATTCAGTCATAGCTTCTCCCTCCCCAATAGGAGACAATCCAAGACCACACCCAGCTACTACATCCAGTGGTGACATCATGAGGCCACTGTCCCATGAGTCCAGGTTCTCTGGGTAATACCTTTTCTCCATTAGTTTGGCCTCAGTGAGATCTGAATGTGACTTTTCAAGATCCTGCGGTTGTGGTTTAAAGTGTGTACTCAAAGTAATTTTAAAGGCTACCTGTGATTGAATCAAACAGGAAGAAATGACTTCCTTTACAATTCTCCTTCAAACCTCTGTTTAAGTCAGTAAGAAAAATTAGTTTGATGCTAGTAAATTTTTAAACATTTGTTAATATATAATTTAAAATTTCAATATATCTTATTGAGATAATTTATAAACCATAAAATCCATCTGTTTTAAAAATACTGTTCAACGAATTTTAGTATATTTGTAGAGTTGTACAGTCATTATTACATCTCATTTTAGAATGTTTCCATCAACCTACAAAGAAACATTATGCCCATTTACAGTCACTCCCAATTTCATATCATTTCCTCTTGTGCTTGATTTAATCTCATGTCCGTTTGTAAGTAGGTAATGCCAGTGTTTTCCAAAGTGGATGCCAGTGCTGCATGAGACTTCCTGTTTCACCAAGTCTTATACTGTAAGATGTTAGGGTGTAGAGTGACATCTAATAGTCATTTCAGTTTGCAATTTCCCAGTTAGCAGCGAAGTTGTCATCTTTTTTATATATTTATTGGCCATTCAAGCAAATTTTCTCTTATGTGAGGAGTCTGTTCAAGTCTTTGCCACTTTTTTTTTATTGAGTTTGTCTTGTTTTTTCATAGGATTGAAAAATATGTATATTTGACACTATTCCTTTGTCATATATATGTATTGAAATATCTTCTTCAAATTTATGTCTCATCTTTTCACTTCCTTTATGTTGTGTTTTCATCACCAGAAGTCCTTACTTTCTATGTAATAGAATTTATTAATTTTTTTCCTTTATTCATTTTTTGGGGTGGAGGAGAGGGGGGAAGGGTGAGTCTTATTTAAGAAATCCTCCCACACCCCCAAGATAATAAAGGTATTTCCCTATCTTGATGATCTTTAAAAAACTTGACAGTTTGACTTTCCTATCTGTCTTTAAATCACTTGGAATTGATTATTATATATACTGCCTAATTTGTCCTATATAGATATCCAGTTGTCTCAGCAGTGTTGGCTACAATGTCCATTCTTTCCTCACTGATGTGCAATACCATCTCAGTCATATATCATGTGTCCCATGTGCACAAGCCTGTTTCTAGGGCTCTTTGTTCTGTTCCATTGGCCTACTTATCCATCCTTAATACCAATACTATGCTGAATTAATGATTTACCGTAAGTCTTGATAAATGGCCTGGACTTATAATATGAACTGGAATCTCTTTAACCAGTATTTGTTGGCCCCACAGACGATTCATGAGAGTGTATGGTGTGGATGTGGATGTGTGTGCTATGGTCTGGTAGAGATTAGGGGAGTATCAGGCCCGTATCGACATGTGGTGAAGGTGTGTGTGTTGAGTGTTTATTTTTATGGCTGATTAAAAAAAAAACTTAAAAAACTTATTTTAGAATAGTTTTATATTTACAGAAAAGTTGCAAAAATAGTACAGAGAGTTCTCATATACCCCACACCTAGGTTCCCTATTGTTAACATCCTATATTATTATGATACCTTTGTCACAATTAAGGAGACAATATTGATACTTTATTAGTAACTAAAGTACATACCTTACTCAGATTTCATTAGTGCCCCCCATCTAGGATCCCATCTAGAATATCATATTGCATTTTGTCATCATGTCTATTTAGGCCCCTCTGGGTTGTGACAGTTTTTCAGACTTCCTTTGTTTTTGATGACCTTTGCAGTTTTAAGGAGTGCTAGTCAGATACTTTGGAGCGTATCTCTCAATTAAGATTTGTCTAAATCTTAATTTGTCTAAAAAGATGGGTTTCTCATGACTAGATTGGGGCTGTGTGTTTTTGGGAGGAAGACCACAGAGATGAAGTGCTATTTTTATTACTTTATTGTATTATATTTAAGCACATCAAAGGTTGACCTTGATCACCTGATTGAGGTAACTGTAAAGTTACCCCCTCACTCCCTTTCCTTACTGTACTACTTGGAAGGAAGTCTCTATGCCCAGCTCCACTTCCTTGAGGGAGAAATATCTACATAAATTATTTGGAATTTTGCAGGTGAATTTTTTTCCTTTCTCCCCATAATTTATTTATTCAATCATTTATTTATATCAGTATGGACTCATGGATATTTATTTTATACTTTGGGTTATAATGCAATACTGTGTTATTTAATTTGTTGCTCAAATTATTCCAGCTTTGGCCACTGGGATCTCTTCCTGTTGGCTCCTGTATCCCTTTAAAGCATATTTCTATCATTTTGGTTTTTGAGCACTTCCTTACTTTTTGGTACAAGATGTTCCAGACTCATCTTAGAGACTCATCTTGGAGATATGGCCTAGAATCAGGCATGTCTCCAAGTAGCCCTAGTTCCTTCCATTGGAGAATGGTATTTAGAAACCCAAGATCTGGGCTGGGTGTGCTTGTTGCTACTGGGGTCCAGGCCCTTCCAGTAAACAGAGGTAGAAAATACATGTATGTGTGCTAACTTGAGTGTACACACATATGTGTAATTATTTCCATATCTATGCATTTGTATGTAGATTAAGATAAACATAAGTTCATATTGATACCTCTGACTCTAATCCAGAAACACATGGCTCGTTCTAATCTTCATTAGTGTGGGGAGGAAGGATGTTTTAAAAGGCATCAACTAATGTATGACTGAGCTGAGTGGTAAGCTTTTGTTCCTGGAGATTTTCTTATAAGATAAAGTAATCTTTTCCCTTTCATTTTGCATGATGCCCAAAGTTTCACAATTTCAAAATGTCAATTTCTCTTAAAGATTACAGCTATCACAGTGATTACTTCTAAATGGCACAATATTTACTTATATTTATATACTGTTCACTTAGGCATTGGACTGAAAGCAAGTTCATCATCATCATCATCATCATCATTATCCTCATTGCCAACCTGAATTGAATGCTTCCTAGGTGCCAGATACTATAAGTAGTGTATGTTAACCTTCACCATCCTGTGAAAGAGTTACAATCATTCTCCTCTCTTATTGATAAGGAAACTGAGGCACAGAGATTAAGGAGCTTGTC